AAGCATCATTCTTTTTTTTTTTACTGTCATTTTTCTGATGTAGTCTCCATTTCAAACCTTTACACTCCGGAATAAGCAAGAATCAGCTATTTAGAAATTTCAACTTATCACAAGTGGCAAGGCTACTGACAAGCAAGAAATAGAGCCAAACAATTAGCCTTGTCAGAAATTTCTCCGTTATCTCTTTCAGGGTTGTTAACATTGACCTTTGTGTAAATAAACATGATCAGGTGGACCCAAACATCATAGAATGAATCCCACTTGATAAAAAGGGTCCACGAAAGAGACTTAAAACAAGATGGATTGATGACATCAGCAAGTACTGTGGGCCCAGTTGGCAAAAGAAAGCTCAGGAACGTATTGGTTGGAAACATGTGGAAGTGGCCTTCATCGTGCAGTAGATGTTGTTGTTGTTAATTGCGAAGTCGTGTCCGACCCATCGCAACCCCATGGACAACATTCCTCCAGGCCTTCCTGTCCTCTACCATCTTCTGGAGTCCATTTAAGTTCACGCCTCCTGCTTCAGTGACTCCATCCAGCCACCTCATTCTCTGTCGTCCCCTTCTTCTCTTGCCCTCCATCTTTCCCAGCATTAGGCTCTTCTCCAGTGAGTCCTTCCTTCTCATTAGGTGGCCAAAGTATTTTAGTTTCAACTTCAGGATCTGGCCTTCTAAAGAGCAGTCGGGGTTGATCTCTTCTAGGACTGACTGGTTTGAACACCTTTCAGTCCAAGGGACTCACAGGAGTCTTCTCCAGCACCATAGTTCAAAGGCCTCAATTCTTTGTCGCTCAGCCTTTCTTATGGTCCAACTTTCACATAGACAATGGCTAAAATGATGATGATAAAACATGTTTATAGGGCTTTAACTTGGAACTTCTGTGAATTCTGGGTCTCTCGCTGGATTGCTAAGGGCAGTCATTGATTTCCTTTGAGGACCTTGAGTGAATTGAATAAATGATGCCCACCTTCCCTTAAATACCTATTAAAATATTTTCAAAAGTAATTTTAGTACTATCATCATTAGCCTAATAAACCTAAATACATAAACCTTCTCTGTCTGTAATCATTCCTCTTGCTTACTATGCTAACTTCCTTCTTTTCACCTCTGACAAAACATAATTATAAATTCTTCTGGGCTAAAAACTGAAAAATATTACGTTGAGGGTGAATAAGAAAAGATATGTATTTCCAATGGTTCAGAATCGTATGTCGAGTTTTGACTTCCTTCTGTCAATGAACCCTCATAGAATCAAATCTCAAAAACAAAACTTTCGAATTAATTTGCCCATATTTTCCTTGGTAAAGAAAAGAAACTTGAACTCTATTTATGGAGGCTTGATGGCTGGACTTAAAAACACATAGTGGACAGGGAATTTTGGGAGCTGAAATCCACCTATTTTAAAATAGCCAAGGTTGAGAAATTGTTAGATTTTTTAGATACAGGAGGATCTGGACAGACTTGAACACTGGGCACTATCCAACAAAATGAAATTCAATGATGAAAAAAATAAGGTTCTACATTTAGGCAAGAAAAAAACAAATGTAATATAGGGGGTACCTTGCTCAATAGTAGTAACTGTGAGAGGGACCTCGGAGTCCTAGTGGACAATCACTTAGATATGAGCCAGCAGTGTGCTGCAGCTGCCAAAAAGGCCAACACAGTGCTAGGCTGCATTAACAGAGGGATAGAATCAAGATCACATGAAGTATTAATACCACCTTACAATGTCTTAGTAAGGCCACACTTGGAATACTGCATCCAGTTTTGGTCACCACGATGTAAAAAAGATCCTGAGACTCTAGAAAGAGTACAAAGAAGAGCAGCAAAGATGATTAGGGAACTGGAGGCTAAAACATATAAGGAACAGTTGCTGGAATTGGGTATGTCTAGTTTAACGAAGAGAAGGACGAGGGGGGACATGATAGCTGTGTTCCAATATCTCAGGGGCTGCCACAAAGAAGAGGGTGTCAAGCTATTTTCCAAAGCGCCTGAAGGCAGGACGAGAAGCAACCGATGGAAACTAATCAAGGAGAAACTTCTTGACAGTTAGAACAATTAACCAGTGGAACAACCTGCCTCCAGAAGCGGTGAATGCTCCAACACTGGAAGTTTTTAAGAAGAGACTGNAAGCACTGAACTTTGCTATTTTAACAGTGACAACTCTGCAAATAGGAACAAGCATCATTCTTTTTTTTTTTTACTGTCATTTTTCTGATGTAGTCTCCATTTCAAACCTTTACACTCCGGAATAAGCAAGAATCAGCTATTTAGAAATTTCAACTTATCACAAGTGGCAAGGCTACTGACAAGCAAGAAATAGAGCCAAACAATTAGCCTTGTCAGAAATTTCCCCGTTATCTCTTTCAGGGTTGTTAACATTGACCTTTGTGTAAATAAACATGATCAGGTGGACCCAAACATCATAGAATGAATCCCACTTGATAAAAAGGGTCCACGAAAGAGACTTAAAACAAGATGGATTGATGACATCAGCAAGTACTGTGGGCCCAGTTGGCAAAAGAAAGCTCAGGATCGTATTGGTTGGAAACATGTGGAAGTGGCCTTCATCGTGCAGTAGATGTTGTTGTTGTTAATTGCGAAGTCGTGTCCGACCCATCGCGACCCCATGGACGACATTCCTCCAGGCCTTCCTGTCCTCTACCATCTTCTGGAGTCCATTTAAGCTCACGCCTACTGCTTCAGTGACTCCATCCAGCCACCTCATTCTCTGTCGTCCCCTTCTTCTATTGCCCTCAATCTTTCCCAGCATTAGGCTCTTCTCCAGTGAGTCCTTCCTTCTCATTCGGTGGCCAAAGTATTTGAGTTTCAACTTCAGGATCTGGCCTTCTAAAGAGCAGTCGGGGTTGATCTCTTCTAGGACCGACTGGTTTGAACGCCTTGCAGTCCAAGGGACTCGCAGGAGTCTTCTCCAGCACCATAGTTCAAAGGCCTCAATTCTTTGTCGCTCAGCCTTTCTTATGGTCCAACTTTCACATAGACAATGGCTAAAATGATGATGATAAAACATGTTTATAGGGCTTTAACTTGGAACTTCTGTGAATTCTGGGTCTCTCGCTGGATTGCTAAGGGCAGTCATTGATTTCCTTTGAGGACCTTGAGTGAATTGAACAAATGATGCCCACCTTCCCTTAAATACCTATTAAAATATTTTCAAAAGTAATTTTAGTACTATCATCATTAGCCTAATAAACCTAAATACATAAACCTTCTCTGTCTGTAATCATTCTTCTTGCTTACTATGCTAACTTCCTTCTTTTCACCTCTGACAAAACATAATTATAAATTCTTCTGGGCTAGAAACTGAAAAATATTACGTTGAGGGTGAATAAGAAAGGATATGTATTTCCAATGGTTCAGAATCGTATGTCGAGTTTTGACTTCCTTCTGTCAATGAACCCTCATAGAATCAAATCTCAAAAACAAAACTTTCAAATTAATTTGCCCATATTTTCCTTGGTAAAGAAAAGAAACTTGAACTCGATTTATGGAGGCTTGATGGCTGGACTTAAAAACACATAGTGGACAGGGAATTTTGGGAGCTGAAATCCACCTATTTTAAAATAGCCAAGGTTGAGAAATTGTTAGATTTTTTAGATACAGGAGGATCTGGACAGACTTGAACACTGGGCACTATCCAACAAAATGAAATTCAATGATGAAAAAAATAAGGTTCTACATTTAGGCAAGAAAAAAACAAATGTAATATAGGGGGTACCTTGCTCAATAGTAGTAACTGTGAGAGGGACCTCGGAGTCCTAGTGGACAATCACTTAAATATGAGCCAGCAGTGTGCTGCAGCTGCCAAAAAGGCCAACACAGTGCTAGGCTGCATTAACAGAGGGATAGAATCAAGATCACATGAAGTATTAATAATACCACCTTACAATGTCTTAGTAAGGCCACACTTGGAATACTGCATCCAGTTTTGGTCACCACGATGTAAAAAAGATCCTGAGACTCTAGAAAGAGTACAAAGAAGAGCAGCAAAGATGATTAGGGAACTGGAGGCTAAAACATATAAGGAACAGTTGCTGGAATTGGGTATGTCCAGTTTAACGAAGAGAAGGACGAGGGGGGACATGATAGCAGTGTTCCAATATCTCAGGGGCTGCCACAAAGAAGAGGGTGTCAAGCTATTTTCCAAAGCGCCTGAAGGCAGGACGAGAAGCAACCGATGGAAACTAATCAAGGAGAAACTTCTTGACAGTTAGAACAATTAACCAGTGGAACAACCTGCCTCCAGAAGCGGTGAATGCTCCAACACTGGAAGTTTTTAAGAAGAGACTGGACAGCCATTTGTCTGAAATGGTATAGGTATATTCCTGCCTGAGCAGGGGGTTGGACTAGATGACCTCCAAGGTCCCTTCCAATTATTATTATTATTATTATTATTATTATTATTATTATTATTATTATTATTATTATTATTATTATTATTATTATTATTATTATTATTATGTCCAATTCTCAGAGACTGCCTGGACATGGCTTAGATTAAAACACAACAATTCCATCTTTATTGGGGTTCCCGTGAAGCAAAAAAATATCAGATGAAGACCTTTTCTGATCTTAAAAAGTGAAGCACAGTTGAACCACATTGGTATTTGGATGGAAGGCTACTGGCAAATCTAGTCTGGGAATTTAAAAAAAAAAACAGATGGAAATGATAAACTGCATCTGGATTTGGCAACGACTATTCCAACTCAATCTTCATTGTTAAATTATCTCAGCCGTTTGTTCTCAGCAGGACAGGACTGGGATCAAATTGGGGCAGATTGCTCTTCTGTCAAGACTATAAGACTTTAGCAAATGTCTCCAATCAAACTTACAGACTGAGCACAAGTCAGCAGAGGAATGCTAAAATAATCAGTGTTAACTAACTCTAGTATCCTTTCCGTGATGTAAGTCTTAGATAAATTAAGTGTTTAACTGTCTACTGAAGCAAAAGGAACAGAAGAGGAGGAGCAAACAACTCACTGTTAAACTGACGAGATCGATCCCTCCAAGGATAAAGAAACACGTGCAAGAACAGCTTCTGTTCTGGATTTGCAAAAGCCCACTATTGCTTGCAATTATGGAGAGCAATTATTTGGAAATCCAAGAACAAAACCCTCCCACTTACACAAATGACTCTGCAGGAAGATCAGGCAGAGGACGATAAAACAGAAGAAACCAGAAGACGATAAAACAGAAGAAACCACACAGCGACCTCAACCCCCTTCTCTTCCTCATATGACTTGTTTGTACAACTACTTTCGGATAACTGTTGGTTAGACAACCAACTGGTTGATTGTAGCCAGCCAGTAAGTAAACTGCTCAGCTCTACTCTAATCCAGTTCCTNAATTAAGAATGATAGTAAAGCATGCCCTTGACCCATGCAGCAATGTTGACAGACTCTACTTACCAAAGAAAATAGCTGGGCCTAGACTGTTGCAAGTATGCCAGACAGCTGAAGAAGAAGAAAAAAAGGCATTGGAAGACTATCTGAAGGACAGTGCAGAAGATGTACTGAAGCTAGTATGTAGGGTTGCCAGGTGTCCACTATTTGAGTGGACAGTCCACTTTTTTCACATTATGTTCACTATTTTTTTTCACAAAATAGTGGACATTTTTTTTATTCAAAAGCTTTATGATGAAATGGTACGTAATCTAAAGCTGTACAGTCTACTTTTTTTACTACTTAACCCCCCCCCCCCGCTTGTTTGCTATTTTTTGGAAGCAGACCTGGCAACCCTACTAGTATGAGTATTGGAGAGATCGAACTGACTTACAAAAAAGACCAAACAAAGAATAGAAAAGAGATATAGACAGCAAAGCAATACATGGCCAGTACATTAAAGAAAAGCATGCAAACAGATAACAAGTCCTGGCGATGACTAAGAGCAAGGAAGTTGAAGAACAAGACAGAGGGACTAATTCTGGGTGGAAAGACCAAGCCATAGGAACAAATGCCTACAAAGTCAGAATTGAGAAGACATCAACACAGAGCAAATGATGTCTGTGCGAAGAGGCTGAAGTAACAGCTAGTTAGTTAGATAGCTAGCTGTAAGATTGTACAGACCAATTACAAATCATAGCATGACAAAGAAGAACCCAGGGTGTATTGATCTGCAAGTAATACCATTTACCTGCAAGCAAGAACTGGTGGGACCACAAAATAGTCAAAGTAATAGAAAATGAAGAATTCAAACAGCCAAGCACACCTGCCACTTAACAGCCCAAACTTAACTGAGAAGAAAGACATAGATGGTGCAAGTCTAGAAACTGGATATTTCAGTACCTGGAGATAGCAGAACAGAAGAGAAAGAACAGGAGAAAATCACAAAATACAAACACCTGCAACACAGAAACAGAACGATTGTGACGAAAGAAAAAAAAGTTAGTACCAAAAATAATACATGTCTTGGATGCAATCTGACATTGAGAAAATCAATATCAGCAAGCTTTACTTGTAAGGATACCTTTAACACCATCTACCTATTCATATTGGGAAGGATTCAATATGTCGATAAAAATGCCAGATCCAGTCTAAGCATCTGTCTGACTATGCAGCCAACCATAATAATACTGACACAAAAGAAATTACTTTAACAAAAGATTCAGTTTTATGTTTAGTGGACACCCTAGAGAAACTTCTTAAAAAGCTGGCCACTAACTTTGTTATGCTGGAAATGGAAAAATGGGTCACCCATCCCCATAGGCCAGTTTGGTTTAGTGGTAAAGGCACAAGCTAAAAAAGCAGGAAACCATGAGTTCAAGTTCTGCCTTAGTCATGAAAGCCAGTTGGTGACCTTGGCCCAGACACTCTCTCACTCTCTCTCAGCGCAACTCACCTCATGGGATGGTTGTGGGGAAAAATAGGAGGAGGAATATGTGCTGAATATGTTATTTGTAAAAATAATAAAGGCATGATATAAATAAATAGACTTGCCCATGATTGCCTCATAAATCTGCAAACTTGCTTAATACAGTTTTGCAAGAGCAAAAGACTTCAGAGATGTATATGAGGTGAATGGGGAATAAAATTATATATTTCTTAAATATGGGGGATACTAAAGCGATCACCACTCAATTTTTTAACAATAGCCACCCAAAAGTTAAACTCTTGAATTACAGATAATGTGGTTGCTTATGGCTGCCTCTTTATCAATATAAAAGCATGATGAATCCTATTTTGTGAAGTCGTGGTTTAATGATTGCTTAAAAACTAGACTGAACAAATTCTTGAATGCTATATATGGTTTTTCTATTTCTGTTTTAACAGAATAACAGCGTTGGAAGGGACTTTGGAGGTCTTCTAGTCCAATCCCCTGTATAACCAAGAGACTTGTCCAATCTCTTTTTAAAAACCTCCAGTGATGGAGCTCCCACAACTTCTGGAGGCAAACTGTTAATTGAGGCAAACTGGTTAATTGTTCTGTCAGGAAATTTCTCCTTAGTTGCTTCTCTCTCGTTTTGGGGTACGATGTGTTGCTCTGGGTGCTCCTTTCCACTGTCACTTAGCTCTCAGCCGCTGCTGTGGGCACTCCCATTCCCTCACTGGATGTTGACCTGTCATTGGAAGTAGAGATTAAAAGACCTCCTGTACTCCTTACTCTTTAATTTTCTTGCCAAGTTGTTCATGGTCTCTTGATATTGTTTTCAGGTTCATTGTTGGTCATTCGTACCCACATGAAGGAGAAGAAAGAGATAGTAATCTGTGGACTTGATTATCTTAGTAAAGTTCTCAGCCACATCTTTTGATTTTTGCTAGAGGGGGACAACATACCTCCCTAGATTGATTGTCCGGTCTACAGACTGCCGTTTCCGTTCAACTGAGTAGTGAATCTCCTATCACCAACACTCGGCCTTTTTTCTTGGAAAAGTCTGGGCTATTTTTCTTCCTATCACAGGAGCACTTGATGATGTCCCTTCTCCAGGTGTCTGCATGTTTTCTTCCAGGGGGAGGCTATGAAATCAGTTGCTCAGATCGATTGGGGCTGCACAGGTCTTGGCTGAATTAGACAGCAAGGGCATTGCTCTTGGTTGGTTTTTTTTCTTCTATGATGACATGTTGCCATTGATCTGTCTCATTTCTTCTGGTAGTTATTTGTTCCTTACTGTGTTCAGTTTGGATGCAGTCTTCTTCCTTTCACTGAAATTTCTCATTTTGCAAGTTGAGTCTCAAAGTGCCTAGGGTGGTTCTGGATCTTTTACTTTTTTGGACTTTTTATTATTTTTAATTAAAGTATATACACATCTCTTTGTATATTTTCTCATGACCATGTCGTTCAATACAACAAATAAACCACAATAAAATTGGAATGCACAGACAAAGAGACAGATCTCTGCTCTGCTAGCTTCCTCATAAGAGCTGCAAGCAATCTGTGGTAAGATTTGCATGCTCAGCTTCTGAAAATACAAGTCAAGCATTTAAAAAAATTAGACTTTTAATAACAATGATAAAGAAAGGATACCTAAGGTTATTGCAATGATTTACCACTACCGGTAGTTTCATTTTTATGTAAATTGCAGCCTAGCCAAGAACTCAAAAATTACTGGAAGTTTTTAAGAAGAGACTGGACAGCCATTTGTCCGAAATGGTATAGGGTTTCCTGCCTGAGCAGGAGGTTGGACTAGATGACCTTCAAGGTCCCTTCCAACTTTACTACTACTACTATTATTATTATTATTATTATTATTATTATTATTATTATTATTATTATTATTATTATTAGACTCCTGAATTAGCTCCTCACCTCTATGCAGTGGGAAAAAGGGGATGTAGGAATATGGTAATAAACTGGTATCACTTTTAATAACCAAAGGACTTCTCTTTTTCCTGCTAAATTTGCGATCAAAAGGAGACTGTCATCATAAGGCTCAAGTCAAAATCGTTCTTTGTCTAAGCTGCATTCCAAAATAGCAAAAGTAACTGATTAATCTATTTCGGCATTTTTCAAACTGGGTAACTTTAAAATGTGTGGACTTCACATCTTAAGTTGCCAAGTCTGAAAAACATGGCTCTATTTCATTTCTATCCTACTTTTTCTCTGAGATTTCTGAATAGTATCGACAGGACAGCCTCCCCTTCCCCAGTTTTATCCCCCCACAACAACCAGCTGGGGCAAGTCTTGAAGAAACTCTGTAGCCACAGTTACAAAAGTCTGTTTTAAAACCCAGGAAATCAATTAGAAAGAAACTCAAGATTGTTATTCCTTGATTTTCTTTGATATATAGACATTGTCAAGTTTTCAAGATTCTGTTATTTGAGCCAGAACAAGTAGAACAGTCTGCCCCTGGTGGCCAACCTGGATACTGCTGCTCCAAAAGAGCAAAGTTGAATTACAGTTCTTTTATGACTATGACTCTATGACACATTATATCAGTTTAAAATTCATTAATACTATAAATTGTAGGCCTTGTATAATTTTCACCTGTTATTTTTGAAAATATATCCATCTTTTTGTTGAGAAGGTCGCAACTTTATATTTGGCTGTTCTAATTACAGACAGTCCTTGACTTACGACAACTGAGATCAAAATTTCTGTTGCTAAGCAAGGCAGTTGTTAAGTGAATTTTGCCCCATTTTACCTTTTTTTTTGTGCCACAGTTGTTAAGCAAATCATTGCAGATTTTAAGTTGATGATGCGGTAGTTAAGATAATCTAGCTCAGCGGTTCTCAACCTATGGGTCGCGACCCCATTTGGGGTCGATCGACCATTTCACGGGGGTCGCCAAGCAAGGCTGTCCGCCATTTTTTTCCCCTTTTCCGGCGGGTGCCTTACCTCCCTTAAGCTGGGCCAGCTGGTGGTCGGCCTGCTCTGTCTCTGCCGCTTGCCAGCTACGCCTCGGTCGGCGCAGGGGGCGGAACCACGCATGCGCGGCGCTCCCGGGCAGGGAAAGTCCTCGACTTACGACCGGTTGGGTAGTCCTCGACTTATGACCGGTTTAGTCCTCGACTTATGACCGGTTTAGTCCTCAACTTACGACCGGTTGGGGGTCGCGG